ATTCAATATATGTAATAGAGGACATGTCTCACACACGCGATATAAAATCGTCACTATCGATCCAAATCGAGCATGTATATTGATATACTCATTATTCCGTAAGCTACAACTTAAGCATTAGTCGAAATATTGATCTGACACGGATAAATGATATTCATTCGTAAAAATAGAAATTATGAAGGAAGTAACAATCATAAAACAAATTATACAGTCTTTCGCTTTTCCATCAATAGCCACTAAAAGTGGCCAGACATCATTAAGTCATTTATATTACCTCATCCGTTTACCCGATACACGAATTTGAAAGTATCATAACGCCTACGTACGGTATCATCTAAACATTCATAAAACCAATCAGAATAATAATATTCATTCATGCTTCAGAACCGCATATGCGATGGGAGAGTCCGTGTCACCCTATCTATCAGCACTATATGCAACCACGCAGATGCAGATGTCTTTTTTCTGTCTACATTTAATTTCCCCCCGCCAAACTTAGAGCATCAAGGATCAGTTGCGGTAGCAATATAAGCTCAGTAATATTGATTTTTCTTTTCATGCGTGATATTATTGTCTCTCCATATAAGTTATCCACATATTTGTGACACGTATGTGAAGTGTTGCATGTAATTTATCATGAAACGATCATATTCTATATGGCATAAATATCAGCTAAGTTAGATTGTAGCAAGTACATTATTGTATAATATTTTACTGCCAACTAAGGGCAGCTCAAAATTCGGGGCTACAAATAGGGATAACGAAGACCAACATAAAATTGTTGTACAATTTATCACTATTGATACATTATAATAGGCGAAATAGACTGTGGCCACATCAACCAGTTGTGCTCGAAAAGCTCAAACTGCGGACAAGAAATGATTTAAATTATTGATTAAACAACTAAATGCTCGCTCGCGAAATGGATAACTCTTCTCGGTGCTGAAAAGGGTACTACATAATAAGTCGAGTGCGTTTTGTATATTATTTGTGGGCCATAACTAGAACCGCATTCCACTTTTGTTAGAGGCGCACCCCATTTTTGCTATGGGCACAACCGCCCGCCTTGACGATAATAAAGTCTTCACACTCTATAAATCATAATCATATACGTGTACGGTACTGTGCAGATGTATGTAAAAGCACCCAACCAGTTTGCTAAAATTGTTTGGACTAAGGATCTGAAATTTGAGAAGGAGTATTACGTCTCCTGCAAAAGAAAAAGAACATGTCTTGAACATTTGCGTGAACGAGCAATAGCGCCTATGTCCCCTCATGCTCATACAATACGACAGGAAACACCGGATAGCAACACCCACTAATTGGACTATTCAAATGGCACACGAAGGCTTGAGAAAGATGCGATCGTTGCAAAACAGCTCCAACCCTCACATGCCGCTCTCATTGGTACCACCTTTTCTTACAGGAACGAGATGGAAACAGCCTTAAACGGGTTCGCATTTCCCACGGGTGTGCCATCATCTTCGCCGGATCAAAGAGAAAGAGGCGGGGTCTTGAACAGGTCTACTACAAGGGCGATCGTAGCGAGACCTACAGAACAGTCATAACTTAAGCTACGGTAAAAGTACGACGGACTTCTAGCATGTTGATGTTTTTCCTCGTGCGTAATTGTTTTCTACATCTTCTTACCCGAAATGCTCTGCCCGGGATATGACATTGAACTAAATGTATCTATAGGTATCTTATCACAGACGGTAGACTTAAGGTTCACAAATAAATCACTCGGCTTGAGTTTTCTCGTGTCTGTCTTGTCAAAAAACGTCGCTAACGAGTCGTTACCACTTCCGATGTTCAGGTTTTTCGGCATCGTGCCATCAATTGTGTACTGTATTTGAGACGGCAGAGATCCCAGAAGTCATTAACCGTTTGAATAACGCCCTGGCCAAGATGGATTAATAGAATGTCGCGCATGATTGTATCTGCCGTATAAGAAATGGAGATACGGAGCAGTAGTAAGTAAGTACGAGTTTTACATATAATTCTGCACTATGAAATTTAAAGCCCCGCTTATTAGATTAGGTAGGCGGGTGTGACCGTAGAAACAATTGTGTGTTTCCCTAGCAAAAGTAGGATGTGCCTCATATCGTGGCCTTCTTTGTGATACAAAACTATATGATCAAACATACGATAGACCCATTTTACTATCTGTAACAACAAATACACACTTGCAAATACCAGTATGAGGGTCATATTGCTTTATTTAAATGTTTTTTGTTGGATCAGATAGTTAGGTAAAATTGATTTTGATTCTTAATACATTCGCATATTTGTTCTTGAATGCGTTATAGACATCGCTAATTACCTTTTTCTATCTTAAATTATAGACCACGGAATGTTTTCATTGTCTTGCAAGCATTTTTATGCCGATACTTATTTTCTTTTTGTGAAAAATGCATGAATGGACAATCTTGAAGGCTCTTATGTAGGCGTATCGAACTGGAGGCGCATCGTAATATAATTGTATATATATACATATATATATAGTGACCGCCTAGGCGTACACCCCCTAATAACTACGCGCATACCCGCCCCCCGTGATGTAAAACAAAATTTTATCCACTAAATGCGAGCTATCCTCCATTCAATCCTTTTATCTCTCTATTCCTTGCTCTTCCGGCAATGCTAGCACCACCTTCCGAACATACTGATCCTTCTCTTGATGATGCTCAGCTAGCGGTAGAGCGGTTTGTACTTGACCAAGGCTACGCTGTGGGGGGGACGGACCCGCTTAAAACCCTCCAAAAGCGGTGCAACATGCAAAGTCTGGCTACATTTCTCGCACGTCCTAGAGTACAGGAACCGTCGCGAATATCTCACTGAAGGAAATCGGAAGAGAAAGACTAGCAGCAGATGCATTAAAAGACCCTGGAGCGTCACTATCAAAAGAGAATTGACCGAAGAGGGATGGATGTGGCGGGTTAAGGTAGGGGAGGGTTCTCACAACCATGAGGCAACAGCCGATATGTCAGGCTTTCCCAGCGCACGTAAAGTCACAGATCAAGCGCGACAGGTCTTACAACAGATGTCCAAGGCCGGTGCAGCCCCCAAAGTTATTCTTACGACCTTACGGCAGCAATATCCGCAAATAAACCTCACCAGTAAAGACATCTCCAATACTAAAGCCCGGATTCGACAAGAAGAATGAACGGCCGTACACCTCTGGAAGCCGTTCTAGACGAGCTGCAGGAAAAAGAGGGCATGTATGACTAGGCAAAAGACGATGAGGGTCGAATCACACACCTCTTCTTCGCTCCGCCAAGTGCTGTTGACCGAGCCAGAGAGTTTGTCGACGTTGTATTGATAGACTTTACGTACAAGACCAACAGTTGACGAGCTTAACACCTTGCAGTCTGCAATTTACAAGTCTCTAACACAACATTTGTCTACTAGGTTCAAGGTCCCACTCCTACACGTTGTCGGCATGACTAGCACCAATGCTACATTCTCCATATGCTTTTGCTTTATGAGCGGAGAGACAGAAGAGGACTATTTTGGGCTTTGATTCGCGTGAAAAGGGTGTTTCTCTTAAACCGCCTGCCTGGGGTGGTGGTCACTGATCGATAGCTGGCCTCAATGTCAGCAATAAATCATTCTCGGATATGCTTCAAACCTTCTCTGCATATGGCACATTGAAAAGAACATTGTCGCCAACCTGAAGAAACATATTTTGAAGCAATGAAGGGTGGGTAAGATTTCTGGCAGACTGGCACCTTCTGGTTGCTTCGATAGATGTGGAGACGTTTGTCGCTAATTGGAAAGATCTGCAAATATCCTACTGCGAGTACGGACAGACCGTGGGGTACCTGAGGAGCACATGGATCGTACACAAGAAAATAATTTCACCGCATTCACCAAGCTAATCTTACATCTTGGTCACTTGACTACATCTCGCGCTGAAGGCAAACATTCTTCGATAAAAGGGTGGATCAGTGTCTCTTCAGGAGATCTCAAAGATGTGTACGAGAAGATCTCCCTCTCGATCGACTATCAAGAACATCACATCCGTTAACAGATTATCTACAACAAGACGCATTCCATGCTCGCCTTATCTCACTACATTTGGAAGGATGTAAAGCGGAAGATATCACACTATGCTTTTAACAAGGTGTATGAGCGGTTCCAGAAAGCTAAACACCTGGCTGGCGACTCCACCTGCTGCGTCATCTTTCGAAGTATGATGGGTCTTACTTGCTCCCACAAGCTCAACCGGTTAATTGGCAACAATTTTTCGTTGCGGTACCACCATTTTCATAGACACTGGTGGCTTGTAAAACCTCAAGCGCCTGCGTGCAATGACAGTGATACCTCTACAGATGAAATGACAGATTTTGCAGAGCATTGACACAGCTGCAATCTCAACACAAAACTCTCCCCCATAACAGCAACGTCTTTTAAAGGAACAAATTGTAGAGCTCTTCCAACAGCCGCTCACACTAGTGCACATTCCTGTGGTAGTGCGGATTAGAGGCAGACCAGTGGGTGCGGTGGCGGGGAGTAGCACAAGGCGTAATCCTTCTGCTTTTGAGTTAGTGAAAGCTAGAGCACGAGCTCCGCGAAGATGTGGAATTCCAGATTGTCGTGAGGAAGGACATGACAGGAGCGATTTCACTCTCTTGAGATAGCAAACATCTAGCAGAGTATATAATACATATGCATTGAGTAGATTTTACTATGTGTATTTCTCATTCGCCACACGAACATGCTTTTTCCTGTCACGTTGCAATTACTTATAGATGTGTAACGTTATAACTTAAATTTCGTCGCGTCACGTGCAGGGGGTGTGCGCGCAGTTGTGAGGGGGTGTGCGCGCAGTTGTGAGGGGGCGTACCAATCCAAATGCACCACACATCATGCTGGTTTGTATGCAATACACGACCTGACACCTGAATACGCGCCTTTAGTAAGAAAGTACATTTCAAAGTGCTTAGATCTGTTCCCATTTCGTGGCAGAAAATGACGTTGCGCAGCACTGAAATCAGTCAACTCGAGATATATTCAATGTACTGAACCAATCGCTGCTCTGAAATGCTTCCATCTTCAACAGGAATGCCGCTGCCTTTGCTAGCAACGAACTCAAAAATTGGCTCCTCACACTCGAAGCCGCCGAGATTATACGGAGCATCCAATGGGGTCAAAACGACACCGTGGCCCGTCACAACCTCAATGACAATAGGTAATTTACTCTCGCGCTTCCGGAGTATGTTCCGATAGAAATGACAAAAATAGCACAATTTAGTATCATATCAGCCGGCCCTCCCACATAGCTCAAACACCCACGCACCGTCAGGTAATGCCTTATGTAGATACCAGGCGATGTTGAGACTGAAAACTCTCCATCCGCAGCGTCGAGATTCAGGCCGCAATGTTCGGCCAAAAAGCTATCAGCACCACAAATTTACCCCATAATTATCTTTATTCAACGCCAACACTGTCATCACGCACCGCACATCGAGAAACCCCACAAAGTTTTAGCCATCCGCTCCAAAAAAACAGCCATATCCATGTGCTTTTCATTGCCCTCTAAGTGGCCAAATAGCGTCTTGCAAAATGCTTGTGCCAATTTGTTGTCGTGCACCTCCGGATCCATTTCCTCATCTACATACAATCACTCAGTAACACCATTCACACGTGACGCCCACAGTCTACCATGCCAAACCATTTGAAAAGAGCTCCTAATTTCACTCCCGTAAACCTTCATATTGACATGCTGAACATCTAATCCGTCCTACTCCCTGCCAGCCCATACAATTGTCCAGTCAATACCTCCCATTCCCTCACCATCACCCCCACAGCACAACCGCAACTGCAGCGCACTTGACATCGTGCAGACACGTGTCTCTGCCTGTCGCGTCAACCACGAGCCCCAGATTCACTACAGACCCCGAGCGCGTGCCGACAATCGGTTGCTCCATCACCACCGACGGCGCGTGACTCTTTCGACTGGATAAATAAATCTCTTAGATAACAAACAACAGCACAGAAAAAGAGAGACACACGAGAGCGTAAGAACAAGCCACGCCGCAGACGGGACAGCAGATCACGTACATAGACGCGAGCGGGGCGCGCAGGTGAAAATGCGGCGCGCTATTGAGGCGCGTCGTGTACGGCAGCGTGCGCTCGAACAGCTGCCGGCGCGCGGCGACCCAGCGCATCAGCTTGCGGCCGCCCGAGGTGGCGTGCTTGCGCTTGGCTGCGCGCGTGGCCGCGTCCTTGCTGTTCATGCTGTGGCTTCAACACAGTGGAAAAGAGAGTGATGGTCCCTTGTGGCTTCTTCCGCGCGCTAACTCTCGGTTGCTGGTCAGCGCGAGAGAAAAATAAACCTCGTTTTATAAAAAAGAGAGGGTGCACGGAACGATTATACGATTTTACGCACGTGGGGTGGTGCGCGCAGTTATTAGGGGGGTACGAATAGACAGATTCTATATGCTGCATCTTCAAAATGTGGTCTTATACTTCAAGTGTTTTTAATAATGCACATAATACTCACAAAAATGACCTAAAGGGTTATGAAGAGAAGATGAACCAAAAGACGATATGTGACAAGCAACCTTATATAAAGAGTGATATATGAATATAGAAGAGGGGTACAGTCAACGACGATACTTACATATGCTTCCGACGCTTTAGACGGTTTGTATAAATTATTTTCGAAGGATGGTAAAAGTTCCACATTAAAAATTTAACGATCAGAATGGACATATAGAAATCCAGAATATGATTATAGTCTCCATCTTTCGCGTTGGTGTACGAGATAAACACCGTAAGCACACCGTTATCTTTGCTACATGATACATGAACTCTTCCACGCAGACATTATCATACAGTGCAATCGCAAATAAAGCCTATATGTTTTCTTCGTATATCTTATTGATGTATCCGAATGTTGTATCTTATGTCCGATGCTAGTGGAAGGACCTGGCTAATTTTGTTATACGCATTTTGTCATTTATAGCAGGTTAGATTGATGCTTCGACAACCATTGCATTTAATTCGTAAGAATAATATCAACACCGAAATTACTGCATAATATGCAACTTCTTGCATGCGACTCCCACTATATAACGTCAGCGTTGTGTTTGTTTTTTGTGTGTGCGATTCACCTTGCGTGCCCGCTAATATAGCGCGACCAACTACAGTATCATCGACATAAAAATAATGGTTGTACACGATCCTATTAGGAGTAATTTTTTGTCCACAAGGCAGATAATTTTTCGTCTGGTTGTACTGTGTACACCTTACATTACGTAAATCACGCACCAATCGAACATTGCGCTATCTCGTTCGATTCACTGTTCGACACATGACGAAGAAGAAAGGTATACAACATTGCATAATTCTTCATAAGAATTAATGAAAGAGATACTTGCAACCTTGTTGTGCTTTACAACAATGTACAACAATAAAAGACTGCTTTTGACAGGGATGGACCAGACATACGTTGATGGTAAGTATTACATGCATAGATGTGTGCAATAACTCATAAAGTATGCATCTGTTGTGCACATACTAAATTCCCGTCATATGGTGCATCGTATATGAACATATATGATAAAGCATATGACAAAGATATAAATATACATATTATTTGATCCATGATTATCTATGTTTTTCAAGGAAATGAAAAAATGCCCCACATAATTGATAAAAATGCCCCACGTCCCAATAATATTAAGTTAATGAGCACATATAAAACCACACGTCCCTAATCGTTTTCGTTTATTGTATTACGGCCGTGACCAACCCCATCCCTGTTTGGGAAGTCATGGAGAGAGTTCTGCCGCGGATGTGCTGCACTTGCAGCCACCAGTTGCGGGCGCAGACGCGAGATATGAGGACGTAAACACGTCTTCGTATCATCGGTCGCGGCCGTAAACACAGTCAATTGGTGCTAATGTTGTTGATACTGATTTTATTGCTTTCGTTAATGTTGTTGAAGTTGCTTTATTTATGTTGCTGCTGATGTTGCTGCTGCTGTTGCTGCTGCTTGTGTTGTTATAGGGTGCTGTCGTTGCTGTTGTTGTTGCTCTGTTGATGATGCTACTGCTGTTGCTACTTCTGTTGTTGTAGGCGCTGCGGTTGATGTTGTTGTTCTTATTGATGTTGATGTTACTGCTGTTACTGCTGTTGTTGTTGTTGTAGATGCTGTGGTTGCTATTGTTGTTGCTATTGTCGATATTGCTGGTGCTGTTGCAGCTGCAAGATTCGGTCGTTCCAGCCGATAAGGCGCGTGCACGAACTCCCGCACCACACGCGTGCTAGTACTCAATGAATGACAGTGTACGTGTGTGCGTGGGTGTAGCTGGAATAAGACGAGTATGGTGCTGCTCCGACCGAGCTGCGTTTATAACTCATAATACATTGAATTATACCGATCAAAATCCAAGCAACTTGCACTCTGAATTACCAGCACCTACTGTGAGGGGTTGAGTAGGTTGCATCGTGCTCAAAAAAATTGCGCTGAGAATCACCACAACCAGAAACAGAACTTATATAGATGTGCTGCGTTAAGTATTTTAAGACGTGGGCATTTTATATTTTTCAATTATCTGGGGCATTTTTTATTTTCGTGATTGAATGGGGCATGTTATTATATTCCCTTTTATTTACGGCTTTTTTGTTTTTTATATAATGTGTAATAATTTCTTTCTTTTTTTATATATAAAATATTAGTTTTTTGAATACAGCGAACGCAGCTCTTTTGTTTGCCAACGCAGCTTGGTGCTAAAATCATGGGGAACATAAGTAATCAATTTTGAATGACCGGCAGCTCTCACGAACTGATCAAAGCTAAATAGGACCAAGTACATTTCGCCCATTTTATTTTGTCGTTTAGGAATCAAATTATATAACCGAGTTGCAGCATTCGGCGAAGCACTAGCACCCTCGATGTCTGTACATATGCTGCAGCGTCCAATGCCCTAGCTGTCTTTACATGCATACAAAGCTCTGTCAAATAAGCACAATTACCGACATACAGTGACGCCTGCGTAAAGTCAAAGATGGGGTGCACACTCTACTTACTATTCAGTCACACATTATTTTGACAAAGCAATAGGACAGGAGCCCAAGCTTACATCAGATCGACGTTGCGAGCTGTTTATACACAAGATCACACTTCACACCTCGATCGCAAACTCTGTCACCAGGACACCTGCGAATTGCGATCAATCGATGCCCAGCAAGACAGTTGCTTTACTTCCGTCCACTACTCATGAGCCACGATGTCTTGCAAATGCTTTCGCATTGTCTAGTCCTTAGTTTGCTGCCACGCCAGTCCAACTGCTACCACATACAACGCTGACATCTTGACCACTTGAAATGATACTTCTCCATGACGGACGATCTAGAACACGACGATACAAAGCGTGTCGAGCACAAAGTACCTTCATAGACAACGAGACAAGTCCTGCGTGGCCCAACAACGTTCACATGTGATTCCCTCCACCGACATGCCAACAATCGACGCCGTCTCGTTGACATCGTTGATGTCGCTTCGTGTCCAAAACAGACACGATATGCGCGACACGAGCGTGCGCATCAGCTGACGCTTCGATCGCATGTCCCTCACTCTCCATTCACACTCCAATGCGTTCCATCTCTGGAATCCGCAACACACTGCGGCAAAAGAGGATCTGGGCTGCCACCTCGATATCGAGCCGCGCTCGTTTCTCACGCATCAATTGCCCGTAGTTCGTAAACGCCTCTTGAAACGGAGTCGACACGGCGCTGATGCATAGATACTTTTTCGCAAGACGCGCAAGCGAAGGGAACGACCGCCGGTAACGACCCCACCACTCGAGAGGGTCGTGTTCAGTATCATCGGTAGCTGGCAAGGAGGGGGAATCCAAGTACTGCTGCACTTGTGCCTTGAGTTTGTCGAGCTCGGTCGCGGGCTCGTCCAACGGGAAGAACTCATGCAAAAGAGCTGCCGCCTTCTTGTTCGAAAGAGCAGCACCGGCGACGCAGACACTCGACGCACTCCCATTTCCATCCTGCTTTTTCTGCTCGTCTGTCTGGCCCTCGTCCGATGCCGGGTCCAGCTGGTCTTGACTCTGATCGGTGACGTCGTTCTTCGCACGGACTCCAAGCAGATGGTACAGCGACTCGATCAGCTGCTCCTTCTCGGGCGTCGAAAGAAACGGCAACGTCTTGAAGCGAGGATCGAGCAAACACGACAAGTACGCAGACGATGGAGCCTGGCCGGACAAGCAGAGATCCATATTGAGCTTGCTGACAATCGTATGGCGGACCGTCGCAACAAGCGCATCCGTCACCCATGTGGCAGCATGCGCCAAATGCTTCTTCAACGAATGCAATAACGGATACGCAAGGGACAGCCCGGCGTACACGTGCGGAGAAACGTGCACCAATCCTTCAATGCGCTCCAGCAGTCGAGCGAGTTGCTTCAGTGTCGCCCACTCCTCCGACGACAACTCGCAACACAAGAACCGAAGCTGCATGGGTCTTCGAGCCGGATTCGTATCGCTTTCAAGTCCCATTTTGTACCGCAACAGCATTGGTTCGAGCTGAACAATGCGACACATCATTTCGGTCGTGGAATTCCAGCGATCGTCGAAATCGCAGATCACTGGCAATGCCTCACCAGTGTTGCAGCTTGACGTGGACGTCAATGGACCAGTGCGGCAGTTCAGAGTGGAGGATGCAGCACCGCCCGTGGCCGCGTACGAGGTTTGGTCTTCTTTGAACCCGTCGAATTGGTCGACGATCGTTGCGTTGCCACTCTCGGCGATGCTCACACTGACGCCATCCGCTGTTGCAGCAAAGGACGCTGCATGAGTGTGAGTGGCAGAAGCCGCGGAGGCCTCTTCGCCCATACTGCGCTGCAGAGCGAGAAAGATCTGGTACTCGGAAGGGTTCTGGATGAAATACGAAACGTAGTTGCGGCACCTACGGGTGAAATCAGCGCACTCACGCAGTCCGCTCGTGACCGCTCGGTCAAGCTCCTCCACAAAGCATCGCACAACGGCCAGACCTGGATACTCACTGTGGATCGCATTCGCTTCGGCATGCTCTTCTTCTGTCTGTGCCTTTTCGGCGGCCTGTAGAGTGGCCGAGTCGTCTCCTCCTGCACCGTTCGCCGTAGGTGTACGAGGACGCATCGTCAGTGCGGCCACTTTCGACGGCGGAATGTCCCACTTCTCCATGACATCTCGTAGCAGTGCGATGGTGTTCACGCGTTCATCGAGAGGTAGCACGTACACTTCCAGCACACAGTCCCGGCGTCGGAATCCATGCGAAATCCAATGACCACTGACAGTGAGCACGTTCTGGCCGAACGCTGACGTCCAGTTGTTGAGCGACAAACTCAGCACTTCCACGTCGGCGACAACTTCTTTCAGGATCTCGCGTTGCGAGTAGTACAGATTCGCCAGCGCGAGTTTCAACGTCTCCTCGGACGGCAGTTTCACGCCCGCGTGGCCCATGCCGTAGCTGCTGCTGCCGCCGTGTCCTGACCCAGCGCCTCCGTATCCAAAGCCATGAAGACCAGACACACCCGGCCACTCAGTCGCTCCACCCATGAGCAGCATCCCCAGCTCAGCGCACACGTGAGAGACATCCAGTGGCTCGTACTGAGCAATGAGAAACTGCAGCAGTCGATGCGTCAACATCTTGAGACTCGCAGCGGCAGCAGCAGCAGCAGCTCCTGCGTTTCCATACCCTCCAGCCGCGCCAAGCGCTCCGCCGCTTCCCGCACGAAGACGACGACCGCGTCCTCCCTGTCCGCCGCATCCCATCGTCGCCGCGTTTGTCGTCGTGGCTGCAGCTGCTCCCGGGAGCGCCGACGCATAGTCCACGAACCGCTGGTCCACGAGTCCCGCCGCGTCCATTCCCGCATCGTGCAGCTCAAAGCCCACGGGGAACTGCAACGCGCCACTGGCGGCGGCCGTCGCAGCGATCGACCCGAACGACGCAGCAGTGGGATCGAACTCGGCCGCGAGCGCCGCACTCAGTGGCCCCACGTCGCTCGCCAGTTTCTTGCTCGGGGCGCCTGTGCCACCGCTGCTGCTGCCGCTATTGTTGTGGTTGTTGTGGTTGTTGTGGCTGTTGTGGCTGTAGTGATTACCTGCGCGTCGACGCGCACTGCGGAGCTCCTCAACGAGCTGATACTGTTGCAGTTGCAGTTGCTGGCGGTGTTTGCTGCTGTGGTGTGCACCACACGAGTCGCTGCCCGTCCCCACCGGTGCCACAGGTGTCCCGTCTGCCGCCGTCACCACGAGACTCGACGTTGAAGTTGCCGCGACGGTGGTACCGCACTGGGAAACAGCTGGTGCGCCGCTTTCCGACGCGGTGATTGGCTGGCGGAGCGCGTGACGACGACGACACGACGACGCGCCCCTCGCGTAACTGTCGTAGTCGGCGGCGCTTTTGCCCGGCGCGTACTTGTGGTGTTTCTTGCGCAGGTGGCGGTTCATTGTGCTCGTGCCGCCCGAGTAGGCGAAGCGCGTCGTCTGCGCCGGACAGAGCGTACAGAGGACGAATTTGCCGCTCGCGTCTTTGACGAAGTAGTCCCATATGAAACTCGGGAGGGCGAGCGCCGAGTCGGCTTTGGGGCGGCCGCTGCGCCGGCGGACAGACGTTGCGACGGCCGACGCATTGGCGACGACCGGCGGCGCGTCGTCGAGGGGCTCAGAGTGATGGTCGGGCGGTGCGACGAGGGCGGCGCTCGGTTCGAGCAGCAGCGCGTCGGCGGGGTCCATGGTGACCGCGTTTGCCTTGAGCACTGTATGGCGCGGCGGTTCGCCCTCCGCCAGTCAAGCGATGCGCCATCGCTCGGGCGCAGGCGCTGTTGGGGACCGCCAAAGCGTTGCGATTGGTGGAATAGGAGGCGAGACGCGGGGCGGCTAGGGGTCTGGCCGTCGTGTCTTTTTCTGCTGAAATGAACACGCGTGCGAAAAAAGCCGTGCGTCAGCATGACAGGTGCACATGCAGGTGAGACATCAAATTGAACGGTCACCACTACTGGCTGCATGAAAAGCTGTGACACGCGAGTGCACAGTGTGAGCTGTGCGGGATGACGGAGATGGTGTTCGATCCGAGTTGCTGCTGTCATCGTATCCACAGCTGACACTGGAATTGCCACGTACGGATGTGAGTGTGTACAGTCACTACGATCGATCGGTCCACGAGTTGCCAGCTCGTTTGGTCTGCAGCACAGCAAACAGCGCGTACAGTGACTATGTTGGATCCACATTGATGTGCGTGAGTAGTGCCGCAATGAACAACAGCGGTACGGCACACACGTAGCAATGGTCACTCGGCTTCAGTCGAGTATCACACGAATGCGTTTATGCGGTTGGCCCCGCGTTCAACAACAACAGGAGTGTATCATGTGACGAGTATCGCTTGCGCCCGCGGTCTACTACGCCGACAATAAGATTGCCAAACAGCCATATCGAGATGATCAGAGCGGCAAAGAAGGTCGCAAGTGTAAAGACGATGGGAACGAGTCAACCGGCGTTGCAACTTGAGGTTTGGCACTAGCACGCAACCCAACACCCAATGAATGATGACTGGCTAGACGGAGACAAACCTAACACGTTTGGTGTGAATGTGAGAAAGCTGACTCATCCACCAGGTCGTAACTTGATATGCGTTTGTGTGTCGATAAGGTCGGGTGTTTTGCAAAGACATTGCTGTCTTCTGCGTTGAGCCGTAATGGGCTACAACATCAGTCGACGCTTCGTTCAACGGTTTGGTTCTTTTCTTGCTATTCAATTTCGATGGAACGACTAAACACTCCGTCGTCTGCGCCGGCCGAGCCATACACATCGTGCGCTCGTTCGATGAGTTTGCTCGTTTGCATATCAAGTTGGATCAAACGCGGCTCTGATGTTTCAAACTGTAGTAACAACGCTGTCATGCGTCTGTGTGCTTTAGCCTATCAACCCATCGAGATCTCTTCACCAGATTCTCCTGTTTGGGGCGTTGCCGGTCTCCGTCTTGCAACTCGCATTCACGACAGGTCCAATAACGCACTTGGTATGCACAAGGAACTTACTTGATGGCGATATGACTCCGACGAGTGTACGTACGCTGTCTGAGGCGATACTTTTGACGCATCCACTCCGTTCCATTCCGTTTTCGCTTTATTGCGTTCGCAGCGAGCGCCAACAAACACAACGCCTTTTGTACCAACATCGTCACATGGGAACGTATTTTAAATGATCCGATGAGTGTCATAAAAGTATACTTTGTGTCCGTTTTGGAGCAATTGGTCCTCTCGTGCCAAACTCAGTCGCGGAATAGTCTGACAAAATGGTGCGCTCGAGCGCTCGACTCCAGATGGTCACCGAGAACGTCGTGGCCGCTGTCGCTGCGTCGGGCCGTACTACCAAAAAGCGCAGTCACGAGATCTCTTCCACGAAAACGTCTGCTACGCTCGCGAGTGAGTCGTCTCGTTCTACACCGAAGAAAGCCAAAACGTCATCTGACGCCACTGCGGATAACAAAAGCGCTTGGGGAGCGCTCTTTGCCCCTCTGAAGGCGAAACAGACCGAACGGGTGCGGCCACTGGCTGCAGTGCCCGTCTCGACGGAGCTGCAGCAGCGCATTGACGCGTTTCCACGTTTCCAGGACGTCTCGAGACGATCTGACGATACAGTTGAGCTCAAAATTGTCGCGTGGAACGTGAACGGTCTTCGAGCAGTCCTTAAGCGAGACGACAGTGTTCATCTACGTGCCTATGCAGCCCAGGAAGATCCGGACATTATCTGTCTCAGTGAGACGAAGATCTGCAGCGACGAGCTCCAGAAACTGGAAGACTTTTTGCCGCAGTTCGAGCACCAGTTTTGGTCCTGTGCAGTCAAGAAAGGATACGCGAGCACCGCTGTTTTGTGCAAGACAAAGCCGCTAAGTGTGCGTGATGAAATTGTCGTGGGAAGTCACGAGTCGAAAGGGATCGGCAACGAGTCTGAGAACAGCGCAAAGGACCAAGAAGGACGATTCTTAGCATTGGAATTCGACAAGTTCTGGCTGGTCCACACCTACGTCCCGAATGCAGGAGGCAAATTGGAAAGACTGAGCTACCGAACCAGCCAGTGGGATAAAGCCATGCTGCGCGAGATGAAGCATATGGAGAAGACCAAGCCTGTGATCTGGTGCGGAGACCTGAACGTCGCGCATCACGAGATTGACATCCACAACCCAAAGGGGAACCGCAAAAGTGCGGGATTTACGGACGAAGAGAGACAGAGTTTCACTGAGATTCTGGACTGCGGATTCATCGATACTTTCCGCCACTTGCATCCAGAGAAAGTGGAGTATTCGTACTTTGGCTATCGGCAAAACATGCGCGCGAAGAACAAAGGCTGGCGACTCGACTACTTCGTCGTGTCGAAGGCATTGATGCCGAATGTAGTACGTCTGATGATATAATGCCGTTTGTGTGGGTGCGTTTTTTCGACTAACTAGTATTTACATGATCTTGTCGTCTGCAGCGATCGTCTTTTATCCGACAAAGCGTTGTTGGCAGTGACCACTTGCCTATCGGACTAGAGCTTGGCGATCTCCTGTGACACACTTTTGTTGACGGCGAGTGTGGACAAGGAACACGTCAAGCAAATCACGCCAAGCCCGTCAATCAACTTTGTGCGGTATACCGATTTGTAACAGCCACGTCTTGATCATCCGTCCATGAAAAAGCGTGACAAGAGTAGTGACCGGTCAATGTCGTCAATCGAACAGGGTATCCTTCCATTTCGATCTATGGTGCATACAGTTATCGTCCTCATATCTGGAGCACAGAGCCGCGCGAGACTTTCGAACCGAGTGAGCATGTGGGAATTAGAAATAAAAGCTTGGATAATTGCAGTTTGTTCACTTCTGTCGTACCTCAAATGTCGTACCGATGCTTTCAATTGATGTTTGTATCAATCGCGTGAAACAAATTGCTCGAGGCCATGTTGATGTAACTCATTCTTAGCAATGAAAGCATCAAAAGCAGCAGCTGCGGATCAAGTTTCGTGTGATATAGAAGCGCTTCGGGGTTACGAAGACGTAAACGCAAGATCACGGAATTGGTTTTCGCCCGACAGAACGCCTGCTCTTCATGACCCATCCCACATCGTATACCACCGCTGCCATCGGTTAGGTATTGATTGGGGCTAGACTACCACCATTGGCTACGCGTGAGCATCAATGAGCCATTGTCCATGATGTAGCCCTACATCAATTACAATTATAATGTTATCATTCCATCAATGTTTCGAACACCTTAATGGTTGGTAAAGCTATGATTTGAAAACGCAGGGTAGCAGCTAGAAGTTACAATTGACATGGTTGATTTCATAATATCGGTTATCTACAACATGGACACAGTCATCGATGCAAGCTGGTAAAGCTTTTCTAGTCGTGACTCACCGGATATGTCATGAGGGCTAAAGTTATCTACGTCCGCTTCATTTTATCAATGCAGCTTCAATTTATGACGGTAAAGCATGTCGCAAGCAGCACGACAAGCAAAAAGGTGGCGATAACGGCAAAAAAGTGTACAAGCTGAATAGGCGTCGCTGGAGTATGGGGACGATGGCAGTGGGCAAGATTCCAATCGCATGTGGCTAAAGAATTGGGTCAATAGACGTAGTGTTGATAATAGCTATGGCACATACACAATACAAAATGCCGGATACGACGCAATGACATGTCGATTATTGTCGAAGTTGCCACTACGCTGTTGAGCGACAGTACATACGTACACTCTCCACTGGGGCAATCCAAGCACCCGGAATGAATCCTTGGTCTTCTGTCAATGATAAATTGACGATATGTAAAAGCATCATAGATACCAAAAACAAGCAGTGAATTGGCACAGCGAGGCATCTCTGTCAACACCAGAACAAAACGAAAGTGTAATACGGTTGGTTAAATATATTGCAATATATTCACACATATTTTTAGATTGACCGATAATCTGTTTTGGCTTTGTGCAACGCTGTTGTGCAACTACAATACAATAATAACGATCATGCTAAACATACAGGACAAGATTATGTAATAGTGCACGAAAAAAGGCACGAAATATAATTTGCGCCAAATAATCAGAGCATCAAATAATTATCAACGATGCGATTAAACGTAAAATGCGCGGAATGCTAAATATAGATAAGAATGCACAATATATCTATAATTAGCACTCAAAAATACGCACGCTATGAGATCATTGTGAAGAGTTATATTAATGATATTTACCCATGTGTCGGATCAACTCAAAGACGTTAGACATCCCGGGCTGTTACAGGGAATCGAGTTCGTCCTTTTTTTCAGCGATAACCTAGTTTTGAACCATAAGGGTTCGTGTCTCTTACGTACCTTTGACATAGGATAATAAGCTCTACGACGCGGCCATAAACGGGTGGTGAGTTAGGGCATTGATCCTGACAATGCTGAAACTGGAGCACAATAACGAAGTGAATCGTAATTCTCTGTTATATCCGGTATAGTGTGTACATTGTGTCTTGAGTCATTTACTCTACATCGTTTCCAGCTTCGTGTATACGCCATTTTGTACTGCGATGTATCCATTTGTGTGGTTGTAACGATGCTACGAAGGTGGCCGATAACCTGAACTTCACGTCAAAGCAGTTAGGCGTAAACAAAATTGACAGAATCGACATGGTCCTACAACCGCATGATCGACAACAGTCGTGCAACGCTCAAATACTATAAGACAACTATTGACAGACACGAGCCTTCGAATTAATTGTTAAGGGAGCGGATGACGACAGTATGCGTGAATGTCCACATTTGGTCCCTGGCATGTGTATGTTCGGTCGGAAAGTACAAATGAAAGCCGCACTTTACATTATCTACAAACATCATTAGCTTTGGTGAGATGGAGGACAGCCTGTGAATTTGTAACAGCAGCTATTAAATTTGCTGACAGCAGACGCAATATTTTAGATGAGGCAACTACATTCGGTACATATTGGCACTCCATCCAAGGCTTGGATTAGAAAGGTATTCGATTCCAGCATGATATTAGGACAAATCACGTGATGAAGCATTCCAGAATACGCATTCTTCGTTAAAAATTACTGACCAAAACAGCAAACCACAAATGTCTGTAAATCGGTACATAACTATGATCAAAGTGAGAGCAGATGCACCGGCACGTCGCACCATGAGGCTGCAATGCACAATATGCACTCCCGAAGTACCCGTAAATATCTTATGGTGAGAACTATTGCATTGCACACATATCGGCTCATCTCCATTCCAGGGCGACCATGAAACATAGACCAGATGCATCATCGTGGAAACCGGTCACAAACGTGCATTTGTACCCACGATCCTGTTTTGGTCGTTCAAAGACAATGCCCGATAGAGAGTACTGTCAGCATTTGGTCAATTTGACAGAGGCTACATGGCCTTCAAAGTAAAAGACTTGGCATGTCGCGTCGACACACCATGTTGTCAAACACGAGATAGTGCACACACATATAACTGCAGTGTATTCGTCTTGTGTCAGTTGAAAATACGAAAATAATTGTCACGTGTGTGTGTAATGCGTACTGACTGGTGCTTCGTGTCACACGCAAACGCTATCAGAACTCTATCCATATTGGTCGGTGCAATAGTACATGTACTGCTGGTGACATGGCGATTGTTGATGTTTCATCGTGAGCTGATAAGGAGCGATGCTCCGCCGGCAATATTCGATGTCCGTGGGATCCATTTGACCTATGTCAATGTGACACACATTGAAATACGAGGTTGCTTTTCTACATTTTCGAGCATAGTTTACCACGATACGCATGTAGCCATTCATGCGAAAGTAAGAAGTACCATTTGAGTCGTTCCGTCGCATCCAGATCAGGCATCATAACCGCGTCATATACAGCGTCTAGCCGTGCACTTGGTATATATGACGTAATCATTAACGCGCGGGAATATGCCACCTCGCCAATGGCAATGAGTTGTTACTATTTGCCGGTGTATTGACAGATGATTCGTATGGCAATTGAATGAATTGCTTTCTAATTGGTAAAATCTCAAGTGATTATTTCAGGACACACAGACCGCAACATACCCTTGTTTCAGCAACAAGGATTTGCGCTTTTCTCTTCGGAGCTGTATCGATCAATAAATGAGCCACCGAAGCGTACTTTGCATTGGCGCATTATTATTATTCACAAAACGATTGTATAAACACAACCAGCAATATTTCATCGAGATTTCGATCTTTCCATTTCGTTCTTCTTTTTAGCGTATACCTCGCTCCGATTCAAGAATACTTGCATTCTGTATTCCCGGACAGCTGTGTTTTCCACACAAGTGCATGAGGAGGATGGAAGATCACCTTACCGGTCAGGATGAAGACCTTGTGCACTGTGTCGCTACGACAAGGACCTGTCGCCTTCGTATAGTCGTTCTTCAGCAACGCTAAACTAGTATCGCGTCACGTGACCTTTATTGAAGGGTACACCGTGTTGTCTGTCAATTCACTCGCGAAAGGGTGTTCAGCAAGCTCCGCATAATGGACTTTTTGGTGTTGGCGTATACATTGTACGAAAGCGTGCAGGTTGAAGACCCTCACTGACCTAGAGTCTCAATAAACTTAGCAGGATGACCTTACATACACATCATGTCCACATGTGAGCCCATTATGTACGCAATATAGGTCAAAACATTGTACCGATCCCACGAGATGTGCTGCGAATCCACCAAATGTGGCTAATGTACTCCTTAGCTGCTGTTGTACCATTATAGTATCAATGCATATCCTTCTTATGTTTCTTCTGTGCGAAAGATGTCGTGTTTAGGCACATGGATCCGAGCCGAATCATATATCACGAACATGGCAGAAATCATTTGGTCCCTGGGCATACGTCAGTTTATACGGTTAGTTTCGTATCATAGTTCAGACGGATAGCATCGCCGCATCTTATGTTCACAGAAACTGAGCTAATCTAAATGCCCCTGTGGCCTGGCGCACACAAGCAGTCGCACACAAAAATGGAGTGCTGTGTGGGTCAGTTGGATTTCACGCGTTTCCAGCAGCCAAGCGATCGACAAATCATTGATTGATAGCTTGCCGAATGATTATAAGACAGCCATCACAATACATGCCTTTTACGTGTTGCCCGTCTTCAGAACAAACTAGTAAGTAGTGCTTTGTGCATCGATCAACTTTCAGGGCATGTTCGCTTTCTTTGCAGGCGTCTTTGCATTCGACTACGGGCTCAGAATACTGATTTATGCTAGGCGAGTGTCAGGATAGAGCTTTGTGTTGTCTACTTCAAAAGTAATATTTGAGATGCTCAGTTTCTTGATCAGATCGTACGAGCCCGTTACATGTCTGCAAATACTATACTTTGTCCCGACCGCAGCTATTATTCACATATTATGGCAGGTACGCGATTTCTCTTCTTTTCAACTCTGCCTGTCTTTTATAGAATCGTTTATTGTCGATGCAGGCAACCGATTAGTATTGACCTTATCAAAGATGGAACTATTAGAATGAGCAAGAAGTGTCGGCGTTTAATGCATAATTTCGTAAGTTTTCAATTATTGGACG